TTGTTTTTGAATATTATTGATTTCTAATTTTAGCATTCTAATTTCTTCAACAGAAATTATCATAGGGAAAAGAATGTATATTTTGCCAAAAGCTGAAGCCCTAAGGATAGCTTTTAATTGAGCATATAATATTTCTTTCCGATCTATTGAAATTCTGATTGCACGCCAACCAAGAAAAGGGTTATCTTCTTTTGGTAAATTCATGTAAGGAAGATCTTTATCACCACCAATATCCATGGTTCTTATAATAACAGATTTATTTTGCATTAATTCTGCAACTTTTTTGTATGCTTGGAATTGTTCATTTTCAGTAGGTAAAGAGTTTCTTCCCATAAATAAAAATTCTGTTCGATAAAGACCAATACATTCGGCACCGTTTTTTTGAGCAGAATAAATATCTTCTATATTACCAATATTAGAACCAATTTTAACATTATGTCCATCAATAGTAGTAGCATGTAAATTTTTTAAATTGATTAATTTATTTTTTTTTGCGGAATATTTATTTTTTACTTCTTTTTTCTGATTAATTAATTCATTAGATGGATTGATAAAAATTTCATTATGAATAGCATCTAAAATAATATAATCATTATTTTTGACCATACTTGTTACGTTACTAGTCCCTACAATTGCTGGAATTTCTAATGATCTTGCCATAATCGAAGTATGTGATGTCCTCCCTCCTAAATCAGTAATAAATCCTAAAATATATTTTAGATTAATTTGTGCTGTTTCTGAAGGAGTTAAATCTTTCGAAATTAAAATCACTTCACTTGTTATATTGTTTAAATCAATAATATTTAAATTAAGTATGTTTTTTAATAAACGATTTCCAATATCTCTTACGTCAATAGCTCTGTTTTTTAAGTACTCATCTTTGAGTTTTTCTAAAGCTTTTGCTTGACTTTCAATAATCAATTCAGTGGCTTCTGCAGCGCATATTTGTCTTTCTTTTATTAAAGAAATTATTTCCTGTTCTAACTCTTCATCTTCAAGAAGCATAATATGGCCTTCAAAGATGCTTTCTTTATCTTCTCCCAATGTTTCTCTTGCTTTAATTTTAATTTGTTTTATTTGTTCTATTGATTTTTTTCTGCCTTCAAAAAAAATTTTTATTTCTTTTGTAATATTTTCAATATGAATAATTTTGCGGTTAATAAGAATTTCTTCTTCTTTTAATAAAAGAGCCCGGCCAAAAGCTATACCCGGTGATGCTAAAATGCCTGAAATCATAACATTACCTTTAATAATAAAGTTTATCTATGTCAGAGAAGGACAATATGGTGGGTCAGGCAAATACATTTTTTCATATAATAATTCGGAAGTTATTTTTATATAACCTCCGATATTTTTAGAAAAATTAATAAATTATTTTTATGATAATTTATTCTAGTTCTGTCATTATGTTAGATAAATGCTCAATAGCTTGCTGTTCATCTTCTCCTTCAGCAGACAATGTAATAAGACTTCCTTTAATTAATCCTAGTGTTTGAATCTTGAATAAACTTTTGGCATTTACTGTTTTATCATTGTAAATAATATAAATTTCAGAAATAAATTTTTTTGCTTCTTTTACAAATTGAGCTGCAGGACGAGTATGTAATCCATGTGGAGCTGTTATTGTTATTTGGTTTTGAAACATTTTTTTTCCTTAAATTCGGTTTTATTAAAATGATTTTTCAAGTTATAATTTTATTATAAATAATTGAAATACAACTTCTGAAATAAAAAAGATCACATAAAAAGATTTTTTTATTGCAGAAATTGTATCATTTTAATGTTTTTCTTTATTTTCAAATAATGTAGAAAATAGTTCTGTACTTAAATAACGTTCTCCTGAAGAAGGTAATATAACAACTATTGTTTTATTTAAAAATTTTTTTTGTTTCTGTATTTTTAAAGCTGCAAATAAAGCTGCACCTGAAGAAATTCCTGCTAATATTCCTTCTTTTTTCATTAGTTTTTGAGCTGTAAATATTGACTCTTCACTTGAAACAGTAATTACTTGGTCAATTAATTTTAAGTCTAAATTTTTAGGAATAAATCCAGGTCCTATACCTTGAATTTTATGTGGTCCAGGTGTTATTTTTTTTCCTGATAAAAATTGTGTAATAACAGGTGATTCTGATGGTTCAACTGCAATACTAATTAATTTTTTTTTGCCTTGTCTTTGTTTGATATACCTAGTAATACCTGTAATAGTTCCTCCTGTTCCTACAGCAGAAATTAAAATATCTATTTTACCATCAGTATCATTCCATATTTCAGGACCAGTTGTTTTTTCATGAATTTCAGGATTAGCTGGATTTTCAAATTGTTTTAATAAAAGATATTTTTTAGGATTACATGATATAATTTCATTAGCTTCAGATATGGCTCCTTTCATGCCTAATGTTCCATCTGTTAATACTAATTTAGCTCCTAAAGATTTTAGCAGTTTTTTTCTTTCAATAGACATTGTATCTGGCATAGTAAGAGTTAAATCATAGTTTCGAGAAGCTGCAACATAAGCAAGCGCTATTCCAGTATTCCCGCTAGTAGCCTCGATTAATTCTATATTTTTACTAAGCCTTCCATTTTTTTCGGCATCCCAGATCATATTAGCACCAATCCTACATTTAACACTGAAGCTAGGATTTCTAGATTCTATTTTTACTAAAATATTTCCATGTCCTATATTTTTTAAACGAACTAGTGGTGTGTTTCCGATTGTTAAAGAATTATCTTCATATATTTTACTCATATTAATCCCTGTTTTTGAAAAATTTTTTTATTTTAATTAAGAGCTTTTACAATATGAAATATACTGTTATTTTTTTTAAAATTAAAATATTTATTATACTTTTGTTTATTTTTAAAAAAATCTATTTTTTTATTATAAGTAAAATTATATAATAAAAAATATTAAAAAATACTAATATTATTAATTTATAAAATTTGAGATAATTTTGAATCCATTATATATATATGTATTAAATTTATGACATCTATTAAAAACAAAATTGATAAATTGCGCAAAAAAATTTTAAGATATGAATATTTTTATCATCAATTAGATAAATCAATTATTTCTGATGCAGAATATGATTACTTACTTGATCAGTTATATAATTTAGAATTAGATAATAAAGAGTTTATTACTCCTGATTCACCGACACAAAGAGTAGGTTCAAATTTAACAAATAAATTCAAAAAAATTACGCATTTTTTCCCTATGTTATCCTTAGATAATACCTTTACTTTAAAAGGTTATTTAGAATTTGAAAAAAGAATTAAAAAATCTTTTAATAATATTCTAATATCTTTATGTTGTGAATTGAAAATAGATGGTATAGCTATTAGTATCATTTATGAAAAAGGAATATTTGTACGAGCTGCAACTCGTGGAGATGGTTATCAAGGAGAAAATATTACTTCTAATGCGCGAATGATAAAATCAATTCCATTAAAATTAACAGGACTCGATATACCTAAAAGATTAGAAGTTCGAGGTGAAGTATTTATGTTAAAATCTGATTTTTTAACATTAAACAAACAATGTAAAATAAAAAATAATAAATCTTTTTCTAATCCTCGAAATGCAGCTGCAGGCTCATTACGTCATATTGATCCTACAATAACAGCTGAAAGAAAATTAATGTTTTTTTGTCATGGTTGTTATTTTTTTAGCAAAAAAATAAAATTCACCACGCATTATGAACAATTAATACAGTGTCATACATGGGGATTACCAGTAAATCAAGATATGATAAATTGCCTACAATATGAAGAAGTTTTTCATTTTTATAAAGAATTTGAACAAAAACGACATCTTCTTGATTTTGATATAGATGGAATTGTTGTTAAAGTTAATTCAATAGATTTTCAAAATAAACTGGGTGTGCATACAAAAGCACCAAGATGGGCTATAGCATTTAAGTTTTTTTCTTCTGAAAGAATAACAAGATTAAACGATGTAAAGTTTCAGGTGGGTAGAACAGGAATAATTACACCTGTTGCTTATTTTGAACCTGTATATATATCTGGTGTGACAATTAAGCAGGCTTCATTACATAATAAAAGTGAAATAGAACGATTAGATTTACATATTAATGATCATGTTGTAATTTGTCGGTCAGGAGATGTTATACCAAAATTATTAAGTGTTGTTTCAGATTATCGTGAGAAAAATGCAACAAAAATTATATTTCCTACATTATGTCCTGTTTGCCATACAAAATTATTAGAAAATAAAGAAGAAAAAATAATTCGTTGTCATGCTGGACTAACATGCGATCCTCAAAAAAGAAAATCATTATGTCATTTTTTTTCAAAGAAAGCTTTAAATGTAAGAAGTTTAGGACCTAAAATTATTAATTCACTCATTAAAAAAGGATATGTTAACAATCCAATAGATTTTTTTTATCTTACATCTAATGATTTAATTAATTTGAGAAATATTGGAGATAAAAAAAGTATAGAAGTTATTGATTCGATTAATCAATGTAAGAAAACTACTTTCAAACGTTTTATTTATGCGTTAGGTATTTCTAATGTAGGTGAAATTGCTTCCGAAAAAATTGCAAATTATTTTATCACATTAGATCAATTACTCAATACTAATATTTCAGAATTAAAAAATATACATGGAGTTGGAAAGATAGTTGCAACTAATATATTAAACTATCTCTCTATTACATGTAATCGTGAAATGGTTATTAAACTAGTAAAAAAAATAGGTATTTTTTGGAATGATACAAGATTTCTGATAAAAAGTTATAAAAAAACATATTTTTTTGATAAGAGAATTGTATTAACGGGTGTTTTTACTTTTTATTCAAGAATAGAACTTAAGAAAATTTTAACTAATTTAGGTGCAAAAGTTTTTAGTACCATTTGTAAAAATACTGACATACTGATATATGGTAAAAAATTTGGTTCTAAATTTTTTAAAGCAAAATCGTTAAATATAAAATTGATAAGTGAAAAAGAATTAATTTCTTTAATTTAATTTTTTTTGGGTCGTGCAGGATTTGAACCTGCGACCAATTGATTAAAAGTCAACTGCTCTACCGACTGAGCTAACGACCCTTTTTATAATATGTTTTGGTGGGTGATGACGGACTTGAACCGCCGACTTCCTCCGTGTAAAGGAGGAGCTCTACCAACTGAGCTAATCACCCTTCAAATTACTATCTGTCATTCTTATTGTAATGGTAGAAGAAATAGAGTCAATCTTTTTTTAAAAAATAATATTTGTTTGTTGTAAATTTAATCATTATGATCAAAATAACATCTATATTTTTTATTTGAAATTAGTTCTGAATATTTTAAAAATATTTTTATTAACAAAAAATTTTAAAAGGAATACATGAAAATAAAAACTCGTTTTGCGCCTAGCCCCACTGGGGATTTACATATTGGTAGCATTCGCACTGCTTTATACTCTTGGTTATTTGCAAGGCATCATAATGGAGAATTTGTTCTTCGTATAGAAGATACAGATCTTCAACGTTCTCAAAAAATTTCTATTGATTCTATTTTACAGGGATTAGAATGGTTAGGATTAAATTGGGATGAAGGACCTTATTTTCAAACTAAGAGATTAGATCGCTATAAAGAAGTAATTAACATTCTTTTAGAAAAAAAAAATGCATATAAATGTTTTTGTTCATCTCAAGAATTAGAAGAAATTAGAACTAATCAAATTCAAAAAGGTTTAAAACCTCGATATCCTGGTACTTGTAGAAATTTAAAAATTAATCATCTTCATAATAAAGATTACGTAATACGATTTAAAAATCCAACTACTGGAAAAGTAATATTTAACGACAAAATTAGAGGAGATATTATTTTTGATAATTCAGAATTAGACGATCTTATTATTCAACGGTCAAACGGAATCCCAACTTATAATTTTTGTGTGGTTATAGACGATTTAGATATGAAGATTACTCATGTAATTCGTGGAGAAGATCATATTAATAATACGCCACGTCAAATTAATATTTTAAAGTCTTTAGGCGCGCAAATACCTATTTATGCTCATTTATCAATGATTTTAGATGAAGAAGGCAATAAAATTTCTAAGAGAAAAAATGCATTAAATATCATTGAGTATTATAAAAAAGGATTTCTACCAGAAGCATTATTAAACTATATAGTCCGATTAGGTTGGTCACATGGTGATAAAGAAATTTTTAGTCTATTAGAAATGAAAAAGTTATTTAATTTAAATTTTATTAGCAAATCTTCTAGTATTGTAAATATAAAAAAGCTTTTATGGATTAATAAGTATTATATTAATAATCTATCAGTACAACATATTTCTAGCCTTCTTAAAGATTATATGGAAAGAGAAAAAATTGATATTCATAATGGTCCTAGTTTAGAATTATTAGTAAAATTATTAAGAAGTCGTTGTCACACATTAAAAGAAATGACAGAATTTTCTCGTTATTTTTATGAAGAATTTGATTTTTCTGATCAAAAATTAGTAGAGAAATATTTGACATGTAATAATTGTCAGATTTTAGAAAAGATATATAACAAATTAGAAAAAATATTGGTTTGGAATCATTTAGTGATATCTGAAGTTATTAATAACTTATCAAAAAAAAATCAAATTAATACAAAAGAAATAAACATGATTTTACGTATTGTAATCACAGGTAATATTTACTCGCCGAGTATCAGTTCTGTGATTGATTTAGTTGGTCAAAAAAAAACTTTATTGAGAATAAAAAAAGCAATTAATTATATTAATACTTTATATATTTGACAAACATAAATAATTAAATTTAATTTTTTAAAGAAATAAATTGACAGAATTCATGTGTTTTTATATTGTAATATTTTTGGGGTTATAGCTCAGTTGGTAGAGTGCTTGCATGGCATGCAAGATGTCAGCGGTTCGAGTCCGCTTAACTCCAAAAAACTCATTCTTATCGGCATGATGAAGATTAAATTAAAAAATACTCAAAATAACATGAAATATTACTACTAAGTCCTTTAAATTCATTTTAAAATTATAGTACCGTGCTGTATTTTATTCAGCACAGTATTTTTAGAATTAAATTTGTTGATTCATTATTTCTTGATAAGCAGAAATAATTTTATTTCTTACTTGAATGGCCATTTGCATAGAAAGAGTAGACTTTTCTAAATTTATCATTACATCATTCAAAGAGATTCCTGATTGATTTAATGTAAATTTTTCAGAATCTTTTTTTGCATTGTTTTGAATATTGCTAATTTCTCCTAATGCCGTTTTTATATAGTCGATAAAATGATTTGATTCTATATTATTTTCTGTATTTATATTTTTATTTAAAAAATTAATTTTTGTGTGAATGTTGTGATAATTAATATTTTTAATAAACATAATTTTCCTCTTATATAAATTTTTTATTTTTTAAATGACTATCTTATTGTTTTTTGATAAACAATAAATAAAGATTTTTGATAAACAATAAATAAAGATAAATATTTTTATATTATATTAAAATACATATTTTTTAATATATTATTCATAATAATTTAATTAAAAATAATTTAACAGGAAATTTTTTTATTTCATACTATATTAGTGAAATTATTTAATAATCGCTAAATTTTAGTTAGAATTAACTATCAGACAGGAAGATTTCATGAATTTCAGTGCTATAGAAGATTCAGTTTTAGAAGAGAAAAAAAAATTTAATAATTTTTTTTCTCGTTTTTTAAAAAATTCTCGTGTTTTAATTATTTTATTAACAGCTTCAGTTATTACCGCTGTCTCTGTTTCAATATGGATTAAATCTCCCGAGTATCAAGTTTTATATAATCATTTATCTAATGAAGATGGTGGAGCTATTATTAATCAGTTAAATCAAATGAAAATTCCTTATCAGTTTACTGATGTGTCAGGTCAAATATCTGTTCCGAAAAATAAAGTTTATGATATTCGCTTACGTTTAGCAGAAAAAAATCTTCCTAGAGGTGGAGGAGTTGGTTTCGAACTATTAGATAAAGAGAAATTTGGAATTAGTCAGTTTAACGAACAAATAAATTACCAACGTGCTTTAGAAGGAGAACTCGCTCGAACCATACAAAGAATTAATATTATTAAAAATGCGAGAATACATCTAGTATTTCCTAAATCATCATTGTTCTTACAAGATAAAAAAAAATCTTCGGCTTCAGTTGTTTTGGAACTACAGCCCGGACAAGTATTAAATTCAGAACAAATTAATTCAATATTACATATTCTTTCGAGTAGTGTATCGAATCTTTCATCTCAAAATATTACAATTGTAGATCAATTTGGACAATTATTAAATCAGCCTTTTTTAGAATATCAAAAAGTTAATAATGTACAATTTAAATATTCTGAAGATATTGAATCTCGTTATAGTAATAGAATAAAAGAAATTTTAGAACCATTAGTTGGTATTGGGAATGTACATGCTCAAGTAACTGCTCAGATTGATTTTAATTCTCAAGAAGAAACACAAGAAAAATATTTACCGAATACTAATCATAAAAATCAAGCAATAAGATCCTATCAAAAAAGTATTCATGATCAAGTGCAAAAAAAAGAGATAGTGACATCTTTATCCAATAATACACCTTCTGATAGTCTGAAAAATAAATATACTAACACAATGAATAATGGATTTAATTTTGTCAAAAATAATACAAAAGTAAATAATTTTGATAATCCTATAAATTCTAATATTAATCGTGATAATACGATAAATTATGAGTTAAATCATAGTATTTCACATACTAAAATGAATGTAGGAGAAATTAAAAGATTATCTGCTGCAGTTATTATAAATTTCACTAAAGATAAAAATGGAAAATCTATTCCTTTTGCGACAGATAAAATAAAGAATATTGAACATTTAATACGTGAAACAATAGGATATTCTAAATCTCGAGGAGATAGTGTTCATGTCGTTAATGCATTATTTGCTAAACATCAAGAAAAAATGCCTATTCCACTAAAACATCCGAGTCCATTGCAATTTTCATATATATTATTTAGTTTAACACCTTGGTTTCTTTCTGCTTTATTTCTATGTCTTTTATTAAAAAAATACATTTGTCCTGTTTCAAGAAATAATGTTACAAACAATAGAATAAATAATGAAAAAAAGTATACAGAAAAATATGAAAATATAGAAAAAAATACTTTTCAAGAAAATATTAAAAATAATTTCAATACAGATACATTAATTCATCAAATTTGCAATATATCTAATCAAAATCCGCGTACTATAGCGTTAATTATTCGTAAATGGATGAGTGATAAAATATGATTTTAAATGGTACTGAAAAAAGTGCACTATTATTAATGTCAATAGGATCTGATCAAGCAGGAGAGATATTAAAAAATTTAACTCCTTTTGAAGTACAAGAGCTGATCACAACTATGTTAAATATGAAAAGAGTGTCAACTAAAAAATTAAACGAAACACTTCATGAATGTTATGATCTTGCAGTGAAAAACAATGCTTTTAACTGTAATAATAGTGATAATTATCTTATGGATATGTTAACAAAAGCTTTAGGAGAAAAAAAAGGTAATTCTTTGTTACAGGAAGCACTAGAAATTCGTAACGCAAAAATATGTATTGACAAACTAAATTATATGAAACCCAAGCAAATTGCTTTTTTATTAAATAATGAACACTCTCAAATTATTACAACTATACTTATTTATCTAGATCAAAATCATGCCGCTAAGGTTTTGTCGTTCCTTAGCAACAAAAAACGTGCTGAAATTATATTAAGAATTACGGAATTTCAAGGTATTGAAGAGTCTTCTTTAGTAGAGTTAACTAAATTCATTGATACTTTATTAAAAAATAAGAAATTAATTTTATCGGAAAAAGGAGGTATAAAAACCGCAGCTAAAATTTTAAATTCAATGAAAATTCAAGATGAAAAAGAAACAATAAAAAAAATTAGTATGTTTAATGAAGAATTAGCGAATAAGATTCTTAAAGAAATGTTTTCATTTGAAAACATAGTAGATTTAGATGATAATTATATTCAATTAGTGATTAAAAATATTGAAAAAGAAAAATTATATATTGCACTTCAAGATACAAGTGCTTCTGTAAGAGAAAAATTTTTTAAAAATATGACTAAAATAGAATCAAATGAATTATTGCTAAGTTTAGAAAAAAAATCTTATATTTCTAATGTTGCTATAAAAAACGAACAAAAATTAATTTTAATAATGATTAAAAATATGGCAGAGAAAAAATCTTTTTCATTAAAAAATTTAAGAGAATATTATGCCTAATTTGACATTAGAAAAAAAATGGACACGATGGTATCCTAAAAAAATATCTTTTAAAAATAAAGAAAAAAATAAGAAATTTTTATATTTTTCTTCTCAATTGACTCAAGAAGATTTTTTTATAGACCAAAATAATAAAGGAAAAAAAGACGATTCTCAAACTTATCAAAAATCAGAAATAATAGATTTAACAACAACAAAAGAATACAAAATAGGTTTCAAAAAAGGTTTTTTAGAAGCTTCACAAGATAATATTATATTGAAAAAAAAATTAAATAGTTTTTTGTTAGATTTTGAAAAATCTTTTTCTATCTTTCAAAATACACTTTCTTCTCGTTTATTAAAAATAGTATTAATAGTTACATCTTATGTAATCGGAAAAAAAACTGATGCGAATGAGTCATTTTTAATTAAACATATAAAAAAAATTATTCAAAAAGATGGTATTTTTTTAAAAAAACCACATCTTTTTATTCATCCGAACAATAAAGATTTAATAGAAAAAACATTTGAAAACTTTTTAAATACCTATCAATGGAAATTAGTATGTGATGATAGTTTAGAACTAAATAGTTTTAGAATTAAGTCAGCAAGTAGTAATATAGATGCTACCGTAGATGCAAGATGGCAAGAATTATGTCGTCTTATTGACTTAGAGGAATAATATTAATGAATTTAAAATTTACTCAATTTTTGAAGAATCTTTCTTCTTTTGAAAATAGAGTTAAAAAACTTCCTGATGTTATTTATTATGGTCGTCTTGTTGGTATTAATGGTTTAGTTTTAGAAGTTGTTGGATTAAAAATTCCTATTGGTACAGAATGTTCTATTGAGAGAATTATTAATGGTAAAGTCTTTAATATTGATGCTGAAGTAATAGGTTTTTCCGGTGAAAAAACATTATTACTATCTTTTGAAGAACATCACGGTATTTTCCCTGGATCGTGTGTTTTTTTAAAGAATAGTCAAAATATGAATGGTTTAGTAAAAAAAATACCATTAGATATATCATTATTAGGACGAGTAGTAGATGGAAAGGGGAATCCATTAGATAAGCTTCCTCCATTACAAGATAAATATTATCGTATACAAAAAAAACAATATAATATTAATCCATTACATAGAAAACCTATTACAGAAGTATTAGATATTGGTATACGCTCTATTAATGCACTCTTAACTATTGGACGAGGTCAAAGAATAGGAATTTTTTCTAGTTCAGGTATTGGTAAAAGTATTTTGCTTGGCATGATGGCAAAATATACTCAAGCTGATGTGATTGTTATAGCTCTTATTGGTGAAAGAGGACGAGAAGTAAAAGATTTTATAGAAAAAATATTAGGTTCAGAAGGATTGTCAAGATCAATAGTAGTTGCTGCTCCTGCAGATGTATCACCTTTAATGCGTATACAAGCGGCTTCCTATGCTACTAGCATAGCAGAATATTTTTGTAAGAAAAACAAACATGTATTATTAATAATGGATTCTTTGACTCGTTATGCAATGGCAGAACGAGAAGTTTCTTTATCTTTAGGAGAGTTACCAGTTTCCAAAGGTTATCCATCTTCTATATTTTCAAAAATTCCTAATTTAGTAGAACGTGTAGGAAATATAAATAATAAAGGTTCCATTACTGCT